TTATTGTTCTTCATTATCGCCACCATTTAAGGATTTGTTCTGTTTGTTTTCTTCTGATCAGTCACTTTGAGAACCGCGAGATCGTTTTATACCTGTATGTAAAAAACCACTTACCCACATTTTTGACAAATTAATAAATACACATTCAACTTGAAAATAACAAGCTGACAAATGTATTTTGGCCATCCAATCGAAAACAAACTGCTTTTTGCGTGGAATGTAGCCATGACTACGGGCTACATTCCCATATCATTGGTTTGTAGGCCAGTATATTACGACAATTAGGACTTCCGGTTTATCGTATCTAATGCATCTATACATCTCTTAGCACTTATTCAGGAAGTGGTATTTCTGTCCGGATTCTTGAATACTCCTAATAAAATTTAAGTTTTAAACGTTGCACTTATGATGTGTAAACAGCGTAAATGGCTATCTTATTCTGAACTAATTAGACCTCATGTTTAGTTAGCGGCAAAGATAACAATTTCACAAAGATAAAACAATAAATACAATGGAGGTTTAATTAGATAAGTGGGGGAATGAAATATTAATTTAACAGGTTCAAGGATGTCTAATCAGTGCCACCTGTGAACGCGGACCCACTTTTAACATTAAGTAAAACAATCAGTGGTTTGAAGGGCAAGTAACTTTGTTTGTAATTCACAGATTTCAAATTAGTGCCAGCAAACAGCTTAGTGAAGTAAAGCTACACAATGGGCTATCTGTGCTCTGCCCACCACGGGTATTGAAACCCGGATTCTAGCGTTGTAAGTCTGCAGACATACCGCTGTGCCACTGGAGGGCATACACAGAATACGAATCGACTTATTAATGAAAGATCGGCTTAGCCTTAGTTGCTAATTCTGACCCGCTTCGAATTTACATAAGACTATGCCTACCATGGTTGTAGTTTGTGCGAATTAGCATTAAAAGTGTTTCATATAGGGTTGGATTTCAGTGGATTTCCTGCACCACGGAAGTGGATTCTGGGTATGATGTACTCTTAAATTTCAGGAGGCTGTGCCTAAAGTAAATTAGATTTCTGTATTAAAGTTTCTAAAAATGACCTTTTCTGAGTGGGTTAAACTAGGTGCAATTTGATTAGTTATAAATTAGATGTAGTTGTTTTTTTCCAACGTTTACATTAATTTCATTTTTGGCGTTGCTTTAATATTGATTTACATTTATTTACAGTAATGTGTGATATAAAACAAACAACTAATACAAAATAAGGTAATCGAAAAAGCAATTTTAAAGACTACTACATTAAAACTCAGATAATCTTACCATTATATCTATCTATCTATGGTATTTATGCTCTTATAAAAATTGCAATAATTCCAAATTAATCGAGGTATGTAATTTCATCATTATTTTAGGAAAGAGTAATATATATATATATATACAGTCATTGTTTCGGGATACAAAAAAAAATCAACATATTCCGTATCTTAAAACAATTAAAGATAAATTATTACTTAATTTCATTAATAGCTTAAATCACAGATTACATAAATGTGGGCCGAGCAAAATGGTGAATTAGAATTATTAAAAAAAAATTGGATTCAAGAATGTCGATGAATAATTTATTAATTTTTCCTCCTGTGTAATATATGTAGATTAAAAATAATTATTGTATAATATACTGACTTAAGTAAATAATAGTTGACGATGTGATGGGATTTTTCAAAGCAACAGTTTGAATGTTTTAATACAAGTATTCACAATTATTTCAACATTTTATAACTATCACTTCTGAGGTTATTGAATACAGTTAAAGAAATTGTTATATTAAATTACCATCCATTTTAAGTATGTAATAATTATTTATGGATGTTATAGATATGAGTGATAGATTGGTCATGTAAATAATGTAATGAATGAATATGTTTTGATTTCCTTGTAAAAAAAATGGTTGTTTTGTGTCAAATTTGTAAAAACTGGTTTGGTTGTTTTAATAAAAAGTATCAAAAAATATCTATCTAGAATACTTATAATTTTACTACGCCTATTTTTCTCTTCTTATGTGATAAGTATGCTTATCTTATTCATATATATATCTATTATTATTACTACCTTATATATTCTATTAGGTAAACCGTTTCTTTGTTTCAAGCAGAGTATCAAATTATCCATGCAACATTCTATAATTATCGGTTTGATATTGTTAGTTATGGCCAAAAGGAATCGTTATTTTAATACATCATCCATTTTAAATGTGTGTTTATGTAACATTATGTACAGATATTATGTATATATACGGTATAATGGTTATGTATAATAATGTAATTGATGAATATGTTTTTCTCTTGTTGTAAGAACTGTTTGATGTTAAACTTGTAAAAAGAAGTTTTAATATGAAGTATAAAAAGTGTAAATAATATTGATATTTATTTGTCCTTCGGTATATATGAATGTCCGAGAAGCTTATTTTGCGTCGTAGAAACTGGACAGTCAATATGGAATACAGAACTTACACTGAACAAAAGACAAAACCCTCTACTCCAGAGAGATCTATCAATTTCTAATACAAATATTTCTATAATAAGTCTTCCTGTTGTGCTCGATCTTTGATATACCATACATCTTGCTAACGTTGAAACTTGAACCTACCTTAACTCATGATGACTGCAGTGGAATAAGAACCATTCCAGTATTATACCTTGAAAAATAAACAAACTTGAGACTCCGTTGACGCATAGTAACATTAGTGGAATAATGAACTATTCCAGTATTATACCTTGAAAAATAAACAAACTTGAGACTCCGTTGACGCATAGTAACATTAGTGGAATAATGAACTATTCCAGTATTATACCTTGAAAAACAAACAAACCTGAATCTCCCATAATCTATGGTGGCTGCAGTGAAATAATGAACCGTGCTTGTATTATACCTCGAAAAATAAACAAACTTGAGACTCCGTTGACGCATAGTAACATCAGTGGAATAATGAACTATTCCAGTATTATACCTTGAAAAACAAAAAAACCTGAATCTCCAATAACCCATGGTGGCTGCAGTGAAATAATGAACCGTGCTTGTATTATTCCTTGAAAAATAAACAACTTGAATCTCCGTTGACCCATAGTAACGACAGTAGAATAATAAATCATGTTTGTATTATTCCTTGAAAAACAAACAAATCTGAATCTTCCTTGATCATTGTAAGAACAGTGGAATAATGAACTATGCCTGTATACTTCCCTGAAAAACAAACAAACACATTGGAATCCTACTTGACTCATGGTAAAAACAGTTGGATAATGAATCTTGTTTATATAATTCCTTGAAAAAACTAACTAACCTGAAATTCCCTTCTCATGATGAAAGCAGTGTAATACTTAACCATGCTTTTCATTCTCGAAAAAATAATTTGAGCCTCCAATGACCCATGGTAGTAACAATGGAATGACGAACCACACTTGCCTCATTTCGTGAAAAAGATAACTAATCTGAACATCTCTTGATCCGCAGTGACAACAGTGGAGAAGCAAACGACGACTACTTGATATATTTAAAAAAAAAGTCATTTGAACCTTCCCTCACCCTTGGTGAAATCATGAATCATGCCCGTCTCATTCCTTGAAAAAAAAAATCTGAGACTTCCCTGACCCGCTTCCCACTGGCTCAGCAGTAAGTCTGAGGGTTTATAGCACCAAATTTCTTAAAAAACAACAATATCAGTAACACACGAACAGTTTTTTCTTCTTTTGCTTAAACGAGAAACATGGCGTAGTAATTGTTATATAACGTTATAACAAAGACGTTTATTGATCAATACAGTGGTATTTTTTGAACCGCGTAGGTTTTTTTGTTGTTGTTGTTGGTATCCTGTTCTGTGAAAAATGATGAACGTTTGCCTATATTGCATTCCTATGTCGCTAAATCTTTAGATACGTTTAATTTCATAGTATTAGTCTTTGATGACTATCTAATTTAGGTGAGTTACAATTGAAAGTTCCCTTATTGGCAAAGTTTCCAGTTACTTACTTCACCTTGGTATGCTTTCGCAAACGTCTTCAACAAGTAACTTGTGCATTTTTGTTCTTACTCAAAGCAAAATTGTGACCATTATAAGCGTTCATTCCTTCGTTGATTGGCAGTAAAGGTGACTTCACCCTTAGATATGTACTCTAGTGCAACAAGAACATAAAAACAAGGGTTTACTTTAGTCCGGAAACGTCGTTGATCGCAATAATAGCATGTGCTACTAAAATTAAAATGTTCCAAAATTTACAAATTTTGAATTGAGAGTAAAATATTTGTTTTCTATCTGATTGTTTGTTTTGAATTTCGCGCAAAGCTACACGAGGGCTATCTGCTCTAGTCGTCCCTACTTTAGCAGTGTAAGACTAGAGGGAAGGCAGCTAGTCATCACCACCCACCGCCAACTCTTGGGCTACTCTTTTACCAACGAATAGTGGGATTGACCGTCACAATATAGCGCCCCCACGGCTGAAAGGGCGAGCATGTTTGGTGTGACGGGGATTCGAACCCTCAGATTCTGATATTTGAATAAAAATACACGAGGACTATTTGCACTAGCCGTCCCTAAGTGAGAACTGATAGACTAGAGGGAAAGCTTGTTTATTTGTAATTAAGCATAAAGCTACACAATGGGCTATCTGTACCCTACCCACCACGGGTATCGAAACCCGGTTTCTAGCGTTGTAAGCCCCAAGACATACCGCTGTGCCACTGGGGGGGGGGACTAGAGGGAAAGCAGTAAGTAAACAGAATCCACTACCAACTCATCAAAGAGTGGTATTTGACTGTAACTCTTATAACTCTCATACGATCCCAAAATTCGGTGTGCGATTTTTTTTAGATCCACAGTTCAGCACATTAACCATTAGTCCACGCCCAATTAAGGAATAAAAAGAGACTCGCCAATAAAAAAAAACGTTATGTATTTCTAATAATCACTGTAGCAAAAATCTTCATTTGTTATCTGAACATTTTGTACTAGTGTTATCATTATTATTATTTTTGTCTAGGATGGACGACTTCGGAGTGGAGACCATATTTTACAAATAGGAGACCTCAATTTGAGAGGAATGGGCTCCGAACAAGTAGCTGCTGTGCTTAGGCAGTGTGGGAACCAGGTTCGTTTTGTTGTAGCTAGACCTGTTGAGCCCCCTTCATTAGATTACCACAACATTCCAAATAATGCCCCGATTATTCGCACCCGCATTCTTGCTGATCCAGACCAAATCGACCGCCACTTGATCATGCTTCAACAACCCAAAACTTCCTTTATAAAAAATACAGTATTCAATGGTGATGATGATGTCACTGGCAGCCAAGATGGATATCTAAATCAGACGTCGATCGATTTTCAAGTAAGTAATCGTTTGAAGAAATATTTGCCCGGGGCTATTTTTCTACGATAATTTTGGGGAAATAGAATTTGTATTGCAAACAAAAAAAAAAGGTTTAAAAATATGCGGGTTATAAATCAAATATAAGTATTGAAAAACACTGTGGTTTTATGTTATTTTATGTTACTTGCGGTTAATCAATTATTTTCAAATTACAGTTTGTTTGTTTGTCTTGAATTTCGCGCAAAGCTACACGAGGGCTATCTGCGCTAGCCGTCCCTAATTTAGCAGTGTAAGACTAGAGGGAAAGCAGCTAGTCATCACCACCCACCGCCAACTCTTGGGCTACTCTTTTACCAACGAATAGTGGGATTGGCCGTCACATTATAACGCCCCTACGTTGAGCATGTTTGGTGGGACGGGGATTCGAACCCGCGACCCTTAGCTTGCGAGTCGAGCGCCTTAACTATCTGGCCATGCCGGGCCTTCAGTGCAAATATCTGAAACAAATGAAAAACAAAAACTTACATCAATATAATAATAGAGTGACAGATTATAAATATGTTTCTTGGTAGATTTAGTGAAACCAATGAAAGCACAAGAAAAAAAACACAGATACTATGGAAACTCAATTGTTTGATACTTAAAAAAATGGCATTAAGTTTCCTGAAAAATAACAAATCAAATTGTAGTTGACTTAAGATATATCACAATTAGTTTTTAATTATTAACTATATTAAAAG